GAGATAGTTCTTTACATAAATGGCGTTACAAAAGGTGAATGTCATTGTGAGTTTGTACAGCATGGTGACTACAGACTAACCAAAGTCAAGAGCTAATACCCTGATAGCAGTGTATAGGTGGTATTAAATGTATCATTATTATAATTTCAATTATTATTAACTCTTGATAACTAATATAACACTAACAAACTGAAGCACACGTGCATGTATGTAAGCTCTTTATCAAACACCACCATATTATGTGAATAAGTGAATGTAGGTATGACTAACATGTCATCTAACATTTTTATACCAGTAATGGACAAACGTACAGTATAGATTACCATAGAGTTTTTCCCAAAAATTTTGCGAACGCCAATTGTTTCAATGAGATATTCACTCACGTGTTGAAAGTGGATAAAGTGTACGGCGATTCATAGCACGTTTTTTGTATGGCACAATTCTGCGCAAATTCGGAAAAAACAATAAAAGAAAATACAAAATTGGAATTTAAAAAGAACAGGGAAAGGAGCACGTAAAGATATTGCAACACATTTGTTTCATTGTCTGTCCTGCTGTCAGGCAAACTAATGGTAAAAACAAATTGTATTACACCAAACTTTATGGACTTCGCCGTTTTCTAAAATAGTTATCCACCGTAAATGCTATACTAGTTGAAATACGCCTCTGCGAACACACAATCTCACGAACACAGCCCCGCGTACCCCACTGAGCCAAGAATACTTTTGCGAGTTTGTGCCCTGTGGGGGTCAAGTCTGTTTGACGCAAGGCCTATTTTGCAACATCGGTAAAGACTTGGTCCTAAACTAGGCTGACAGGGGCGTGTTACAGGGGGGCGTCCAGGGGGTCCCGGAACCACTCACTGCTTCCGCGCAGTAAAGACGCATATATTTTACTAAAGGGGTCTAATTTTTAAGAAAAAAAATGTAGGGGCAGGAAGAGGCTCGAAAACAGTACCCCCACTTTCGCATCGCTCGCATAGTTTGGGTTTGGCGGTTCAGATCGCCCTCACCCCCCCCTGTAACAGAATTCCTGTAAGTACGCCCCCTGCTTGACAAACTGTTACGAGAGGTGGTGATTCGTTATCCTATGGTATAGTGAATTCTAAGACATATGAATCTAGGACATATTCGTGGGAGTGAGGTAAATTGCTTATCCACATAGCCCTCTGACCAGCTTT